GTTTGGTAAGTTCTCATTTTCAACTACACATTTTTCAATAAAATAATATTTTCCATCATATCAATAATTTTTTCTTCTTTTTTCAACCACGCATTTCCCATCATATCACTATTCAAAAATCAATTCTTCCCAAAAAAATTCATACCAAACAAGCACTTATTAATATCTGAATTTTAAAGTTTTAAACACTATTTTTTAGTTTTGAAATGGGTCACAGTTAATCACTTGTATATGAAATTTTCTTATAAAATAATATTACACGTAGCCCAAAAATTTTCCATTATTTTTAACCACACATTTTCTAACAATCTACTAATCTATAATGCACTCCACCTAAAAAATGGGGACGCGTACAAATCTTAAATTATAAAACAAGGCACCTTTTCAATTTAAGATACCTTTCAGCCTTTTCATGGAAGTTATTCTAAAGACTTGTTACAATTCGCCTTGTCATGCTTCTTGCCAACTATTTGTACAATATAATCACTTCATTTCATAGATATCATGTCATAGATAATCAATGAAATCATCATCATAATTACATATGTGAACCACTCTTTGTTACTATAAACTGGCTGAAAACCCTTTCAAAAACACATCAGTTCATACAAGCATATACAAGATTACGAGAAAAAACACTAAACAGAAAGGAACATTATTTTCCTTCTCACTGGAGAGGCACAAGAAAGAACCGAAGGAGGGTGGGGAATACATGTGAGACTAAAAATGATTATTGGCATCAAAGCTACAGCCACATATCTACATTCTATAACAAAACAGAATCTACACAACGTAAAAACCAATAGTGTCAATCAATGTGTTCCACTGTCTCTCAAGTTTGAGCAACGATCATCAGGATTCGATAGACCAGAACCACTAGTCTTTTCATTTTGATATCCCAAATCATCTCTTCTGATATATCTTTTGCCAACACTACCTCCCATTGATTTCTCTGACACTGAGGCCAACCCCTGAGTTGTCATGCTAATGCTGATGGCACCAACATCTCTGGTTCCAATATAAAGGCCCCTACTTCCAAGGGAAACGACGTTCTTGTCCTTGCTTCTGGTGAGGACAGAAGGCAACACATCAAGAAGCTGTGGGTTGGGCTCGTTGGAGCTGTTGATAAGCATGCGAAGAGTCTCCCGCGCACCTTTTTCGACAACTGATTCTGCATCTGGAATGAGGGGTTCCACAAGACTTGGGATGAAGGGTGAAATCACAGTCGATATAGCAGGGCCTGCAGTGACCAAGTATCCTTGACCAGAGGAGCAAACATTAATAACTGGAATATGGACAATGGGATCACATATCAGAGGCGTAAATGTTGGGATCTGCTGTGAAGTTGGCCTTGTCAATGGTAACCTCACCAAAGGCTCTGCCAGGAGAGGAGGAAAATCTACAGGGGGCTCGGATGGTTTCAATGACCTGGTAGTTGATAGAAAAGAAGAAAGTGGAGGTAGAGATACTGATTCAATGATTGAAATGGGCAGCTGCGGTGTTCCAGTAGGATATTGCAGAGTTGATGCAACAGGAGGACACCAGCAATAGTGAGGAGAGAAACAAGATGAACTTGAGGGAACTCGAGCTTCCGGGCCTGAAAGGTACAGGTCAGTGGATTTCTCAAGTACATCCAGAAAACTCAATTGAGGAAACACGTCAGCTCCAGTTGCTTCAGAAAGCCTGTTCCTCTCAAAGCAATTTAAACTAGGTGGATCTGCACAATTTGGTGAAGCAACATTTAGGCTGTCAACACCTGAAATGTAACTCTCCCCAGGCGAGCTCTCTTTTTCTTTACTCCTTAATAAAGACAAGCTTCTCGGCAGACCTGTAAAAGAACTTGACCTGGGACTAAGACTACCCTGGAGGTTTGTCTTTGATCCTTGACTACCATTGTGCCGGAAACGAGAAGTCTTCTGAGATGTGAATGACAATCGCGAAGAATCAACTGAGTTATCTAGAGAAAGGGTATCCGACAAAACATGACTAGCTTGAGCACTATTCATCACTGATCCAGCCAGATAAGCTCGAAGGTGAATCACAAAACAGTTGAGGCGAGACTCGCTAATTCCAGTTAATTCAGCCAGTGAAGGCTTTTCTGTGAGTAAATTCTTCATCTACGCCAGGGAAGAAAAAGATTTTAGTAAATAGTAATTAGCTCCAAAAATAAGTGCACATGCAATAAATTATTTAACTGGTCTTACCTTTCTGATCAGTTCACTGCCCAGAAGCTTGGACTTTTCAGAGCACCAAAAATAAGAAATCTCACCAACTGGGTTCTTTACTAAGAAAGAACGCCCGGACTTGTCTGCTGAGATTTCTTCAATTTCTACACCAGGACATTGGGCCCCAGGGCTTGACGTTGCAAGCCTCTCCATACAACCATCATCTCCATTGAACGAGATGCGCAAGTTAGAAGTAGGCAAAAGAGTGAGATTTAAATGTCCTCTGTTGAAAGTAAAGAAATAACAACATTTAGAGATAAATTAAAAGCTTAAATACACAGGACGAAATTCAATCAAATGAAATAATGTCCTATCCATTGCAGCATATGCACATCCTTGAGCAACAGTCCAGGCTAATGATTCATAATAAACAATGATTACCAAAAAATTTGCCAAACATACAAAGTCATAGAAACCTAGCTATTTGACTTTCTATAGTAAACAATAGAGAGCAGTTATCTCCATGTGATAAGAGCCAAAAAAATTACAAAGATAGGAAGAGTGAGTTAGTTGAACAAAGAACTATATTGGAGATTGTTCAAAACAAGATACAAAATGGACCTCAATCCACATTAGAAGACATTAGTTCTGCACATAGACAGATTACACAACTCAGGTAAAGCAAAATATGATGTAAATTGTCGACATAGGAGCGTTAAGCTACCTTTACTTCTTAATTCAGAGATCATATAGTATACGCCGAATTTACCTACAAGTCAAAAGATATTTCACGTGGAAGGATGAACATTGTTACCGTGATAAAAGACTCTAACATCTAGCACTTATCAATGATACAGGGAACATGCACCACATAAGATATTTAAAAGGAACATTATAATGATTAATAACTAACCTTTAGAGAATATATTATCAAAGAAGTGAACATTATAATGAATTGCAAACTTATTAAGCGGTAAACTGGGACAAAACTTAAAACAGAAACAGGGAGCCATGACAACGTTATACTGAAGCCTACACACGAAAGCTCAAAAGATATTTCACTAGGAAGGATGAATACCGTATCCTGAACAAGCTAAATTACAGAACTTGAGCGTGTTTGGTTGTGCTTACGAGCAAGTGAAACTTACTCAAAGTTATTTATTTTGCCAAACGTAATTTTAAAAGTTATCTTTCTACTAACAAAACTTATCTTTCTAGAAAGCAAGCCTTCAATTAGAGCATGTAAGAGCATTTTCAGCTTAAAAATGAAGTAGGCCTAGAAAAAAGTAAAGTAACTTTCGACTAACTATTTGTCCCCAAATATGTTTGGATAACTTCCTTTTCTCGTACTTTTTAAGTAAGTAAAAGTTGTATTCGTTAAAAGAATTTCTTAACTCACTGTAAAAACAAGTATCTTGCTTCTAACTTCCACCAATAAAAGAAACTATTTATTTTTAAATCTTATTTTTCTTAAGTAAACTTTTTAAGTTTAGCTCTTGCTTTCTAGAAAGTAACTTTCAAGAGCAATTAAACATGCTCTATGTAACATCTAGGTGATCAACAACAATACCAGTAACTTGTACCATAAAATGTTGCTGTCACTTCATTAGAAGTTCTACTTACAATAATTAATAAGAAACTTACATTTATAGAAGCAGCTAACAGTATAATAGATTGCAAACTCATTAAGCAGTAGCTGGGAACATAACTTAATATAGAAAAAGGGAGCCATGACACCATGATATTGAAGCAGACTACTACTTACCAAACTAAAGATACCAGTTCGCTATCAGATAAATGAGAAGACTATCATCTCTATCCGTTACAAATATGGCAATCATATTTACTAAACCAACCTTCCAGGTGTCTCCACAAGTCATATGAACCTTCTGCTATGAATAGGCAAATCAAGATGCAGATGTCTACGACAATCCAGCATGTAGTGCCTATCAAGAGATGATTACGGTAATTCTGCAATTCATGTACAATACACTCAATACATGGACCCTAAACAAATTTAGGGATCAGCCGATCAGAGATGATAACTGATAATACAAGTCTATACTACTATTAGTCACACAACAGGTAAAAATGATAACTAAAATGACATTTCAAATGCTGAAGAGGGAACAAAATATTTTTTTATGAGAGATTTAACAAGGAGAGAAATATTGCATTATATGCCCTCATTAAAACAGTTGAAAATAATTGGCATCCAAAAAATTAAAATCAGAGTTGCATAGAAATCTACACACCACACACAAATGCAGATAAATAAAGTTGCAGGCAAAATAGAAAAATATTATCCTTTATATTATAAGGCACAATGCTACCATAAAACAAAGTAGAATAAATTTAAATGAAAAGGTAAAGATCATACAAAGACAAATATCGTCAAACACCACAAATTTTACATCTTAAGAAAGCATCAAACCACCTGCCCTTAGTGGAAATATACGGATCAACCTAGCTTAGATGCCAATACATGTTCAACAATGCAATGACGGCCTCTCCAGCAAGGACGAAGAATCAGTAGGTTTTAATTCGTCGACTGATATTAGCTCACATAACGCATAATTTAAAACTGATTTGTCTTCCCTTCTGTCATCTCTCCTCTACCCACCTCCTTTTCCAGAGTACTAGGGTTGACATTATTTCATTCATTTTTATATGTGGAGAATCAGTACTGTAATATTTTTGGTGCAAGTTATTGAGCTAATTATAAAAATGCCAAATTTGAGTACTAAAAAATAAATAGTTCCATTATCTCCAAAAAGTTATTCAAAATCTATACACCTATCATTTATTCATTCATCTCCACCTCCACTGTACTTCTCACCAAATTATTTGGAACATGAAGCTAATCCCGAATATATCTTCTGGAAGATCAATAACAGAAAAGGGAATATTTGAACAAGTGTGGCATCTAACGATAAGGAATTTCTATCCCACCCACCATGTACTACATATAACTTCAACTATTCATATGCTAATTTGTTTCCTTGTCCGAATGTGTACCTAATGATACGTCACCTACTTATTTCTTTTTATTCTATCTGTTCCCATCTTCTGAAAACTATCCGTACCCTAGGTAGTCCAGAGAACAACAACAAAAACTAACAATGAAAACTACTTGCAGATACTTCAAATAATGAAGTGATCAATTTATTGGGATGCATGGAGCCAAAAAATATTAAATAAAGAGTTCTGTAGTTGCAGCTACCTTATAGATGTAGGATACAAGCAGGTCCCTTGCTTGTTGACCTTCCCAACACGAATAGAAACAAGCGGTACACACAAGCACATGGCTAGTATACCAATTTCTGAAGGCTCAAAGTGCTGTTCAATGAACAATAGTTAAGAAATCAGTTCGCTGAAACATTGGAAAAATTAGTATATAAGGAGCTCAAATGTACAACAGAGAAGTTAGTATCTGAAACAAAAAAGGTGACTTTAATTCCACGCCAAATAACTTTAACAAATAAAACATATCAATTGTACAGTTCTCTAGAGAATTTGAAACAGAAAGGACAAAGCGGTTACAGTTTAAGCAAACAATTCGCCAGGCTTCAATACAGATTTAATATCACATTCTACACATTGCAATGCCAATTTGCCGTTCTGAAATAGCAAATAGAGCCTGTACAGGCAAGTGTATATTCTGAATAAGAATACCTGACTAATATGAGCCAGCAGGTGATCCTCAGCTGCGCCAGGGGAGATATTGAGCTTCAGCATAGGCTTCAACCTCTCATCCGCACGGCATGCCCCCATGACCTGCAGATCCAGAGCTCGTAGCCACTGCAAAACCTCACCATCCCAATGGCTCCGTTGCAGCAGGAGATCCCCATCCCCGTCCTCCACGAGAATCTCCATCAATCTCCCAGTAATCGAAGGATTCTCACTTGTCGAGGTCCCATCACTGCTCGATAAGTCGTTAAATGAACCCTCCCCACCGGAAATTTGATCCGCGTGATCTACATCATCTATATGTCGATCGTTTGAGGAATGTTTCTTCTCCGGATTAACCATTTCTTTTATCAGGAATTTCAAAGTAATTTAAACAGAAATTTTTGGCGAGATGTGTCAAAAAGTTCTAGCAATCCAGTTCGTATTAAGGCTAACAAGTTATATGGATATAGAGATTGTACTATTGTAGAGAGAGAGGAAAGGCGTCTCACAGCTGCAACAACAGATGGATGTGATGCGTCGTCGTCAAGAGTCATTTATAGATCAGTATCAGACGGAGGAGGAGGCCCTTCGGACTTGACATAGTTAGTAATTAAGTAGTAGTGTCGGTTTGAGTTCCGGAACAAAAACCCTAAAAATAAAATTATCATCATCGTACGTCAGCTTTACTTTTAGTGGGGCCCGACAAAGAAAGGCCCAATGGGGGGGGTGGGGGGTGGGTGGGTGTTGGTTGAGGAACGCTGGAAATGGACCAATGGAACAAACCATGAAAATTTGCATAAATGGTCCCCAATTTAAAGTTCTAGTGTGAAATCAGAACTTATTCTTTTGATCTTAGCACTAAACCTCTCGTATGAACCCTAAATTGCGCAAATCTCATTTTCAACTGAAGTCATTGACCCAATGTGAATTATTAAAGTTTAGAGATCCAATTGAAATTTCATTGGAAGTTGAGGAACCACAAATGAAAGTTAGCCCGCTATTTATTCTTTTAAATTATTATATTCATACAATTTAAGCCCATATTTGGTACAAATTTAAATTTAAATCAAAGTTAACAATTAATTTTAATTACATATTTTATAAGTCACACAACATTTTAACCACATATTTCAT